AGAGAAGTGAAAAAATTGTCGAAAACTAAATGAAATTTTTCATTTGGCCATTTTCTCCTCAGTGCATCAGAATACTCTAATACCACACCAGGACCAGGCCCCAAATCTGCATAATTCTTACTAATGTTGGTTGACGACCCTTGGTAAGGTTCAACCCAGTAAACGTAGCCTAGTCTTGATGCGCCAACCCATAATTTATAGCCGTATCGTATAGGTTTTCCGTGAATGAACTGTTTGCATGAGTGCCTCCCAAAATAAGGAACCATTGCCTCATCGACACTATGCATTTCTGTCAAAATTCCATGTTCCATAAATTTTTGATTCAGGCTCGCAAATAAAGATCTAACTTTTGCAAACTTATCTCCTTGCTATAAATTGTAGGTAACTACTAAATGGAAACTTGACATAATATACTCAAATTTATCTCGTGTAAGCGCTTATGCGACGAGTTGATTATTAGCATCTCTTTCACGTTCCCAGAACATTCTTCTACGTGGTACATCGACATAACCACTCATTATATTGCGATTCGCCTTCATAAATAAGGATAAGTGTAGTAGCTCTGCTTGCAGTTCAAACCAAATTTTCTCACCCTGGATACAGTCCTGTCCTTCCGCCACTCCGTCGAACGCTAATACCTGTTCAAAGCTTTGTTGCAACATATTGGGGAGGGTAGAGTAAAGGGCGGGAGCTTATTTAATCCGGCGAGGCTCATATAATTAGGATTAAACTTCACTTACGTAAGTTCGTTTAATCTCTCAAATATTAGTGTTCCAATAAATGCCCTTATTTCATACTCTTGCACCTCTTGTTGGCGATTCTTTTGCCTGGCATATCCATTTGTTTCAGTTGTTATGCGTGTTATAAGTTCGCCGTCAAAAAAAAAAAGTGAAAACCATTCAAGTGGAGTCTTAGAAGAATTATTTTGTCCAAGAATTTCTTCCAAGTTTCCTGAAACTTCTTGTGGTAGATCCTCCTCCACCCATTTGTACGTTTTTCGTTTCTTTAGCTTTTTATTTTTTTAGCCAATTGAGACAATGGAATATTATCTTCGGAATCAGATGAAGATATGCTAAATTTTTCATGAGGTATGTTTATATATGGTTATCTCAGCAGGTGCTTGTAATTGTGAACCCGGTAGATTATCAGCTGACATTACATTCTCATCGCCGGAGTCCTCGTCTGTGAGAATGTCACAAGCATTGATTGGAGGCATCAATGTGATATTATCCACATTTGCTAGTACATCTTCATTGTCCTCCAGCATAGCAAGGGCTTCCTCCAGAGAAAAGCCCCTAAAAATGAAACAGGCATGTATTTTCCTGGCGTACGATATTTTACACACTCAAATATAATGACGCAATTGTGAATCCGAAATAATAACATAATTAATTTGGCAACTGGAAAAAAGCATAATGTGTTTTATTAGTAGAAGCAATCAAAACATTTTTTTTATTTACGTAAAGACCATATATTTACTTACTTGGAAAATCGTATTCCATATTCAGAAAAGTCACAAAAAATAAAGCTTCTTCACAAAATCGCAAAAAAATCTCAATACAACGATAACACCTAACCGCACGTTACGATTTACTAAGGCTTACTGAATGCTTCTGTGCTATTACCGCGTCAAAATAAGCACATGCCGTTGCAAGTCGCGACTTGTTTACGGTGTACCATAAATTGTACGATAGGCATATCTGGGTTAAAAAATATGGTCAATTTAATTAGTAGCGTACATTCCATTCGATTATAGCTTTTATCCAGCTTTCAGTTTGCTCAGTGAGTATTTGTTCAAAAATAATTATCAAGGGTGGAAGTTAGTTCACCGCAATCACGCTTTACATTAAAAGTTTGATTCTTCAAAATGTCACCAATTAGACGTACCAACCTAGGTCGCAGAACTCGCAATGCTGCAAGTCAAAGATATATTGAACGGTGTAAATCTACATGAAAAATTAATGTTAGTTTGCTTTATAAACTATGGTCCAAAACTGTTTCCTTACAAAAACTCAGTATGTTGAAGTTTTAGGAAAAAAATGGAGCTTAATTAATTTTTCAGAACCGCTTCAGATACTTCACTGATATCACTGATCAACAGCCAAAAAATATCCTAAATAAAATCAACAAAATATTACTATTTTTAATGTGCTAAAACCGGAATGAAACTTATTTTTTCAATATTAGTTCAAGTTTTAGAGATACGGTAATTATATGTGTTCCTGCTGTGACAGTGTTAATATACTGTAATTCACAAGAATGCACGTGCTACATTTTTATATTCGGCAAGGAAAGATGATGTAATCGGCATGATTGTGTTACGTTATACATACGTGTACATTATATTGTTTTATATTAGCCATTTTTTCCTCAGTTGGCTGACAGCGTTCATGCAAGATGTCTCGAAAGTGTGTAAACAATCCAGATCAGTTTTGTTACGTGTGTGGTGATGTGACCTTTGCGTCTCAGAGACGGTCTATTACTCCACTAATAACAAAGGCATATCAGCTTTATTTCGGTTGTAAACTAGGTGATCAAGACAAACAGTGGGCACCCCACATCTGCTGTAATACATGTGCTTCAAGTCTGAGGACCTGGTTAAATGGCAAAAAAGGATCTATGCGCTTTGCTGTCCCAATGGTTTGGAGAGAGCCTACAAATCACATTAATGATTGTTACTTTTGCATGGTACCTTGTGTTGGACAAGCCACAGGTATGTACAAGAAAAAAAAATCGGTTATTAACTACCCAAACATACCATCTGCGATGAGACCTGTGCCTCACAGTGACGAAAATCCTATTCCAAAACCCCCAGAATCCTACACTTGCGAATCAGAAAACGAATCAGATCATGGCGATCGAGTGATTCGTCAGGAAGAACATATGCCATCAACGCCAAGAGATCCTGATTTTATACCGAGCACGTCATGCCACCAACCGCACAAAATAACACAGTCAGAATTAAATGATCTTGTAAGAGATTTAGAACAAAATGTAAGGCAGAGTTACTTGGATCAAGACTGCAGCAGTGGAACTTGTGGAAGACGATGTTTCGGTATGTGTTTTTCGTAAACGCCACAAAGACTTAGAACCATTTTTCAATATGGAGAATAACTTGGTTTTCTGCAGTAACATTAACGGCTTACTGGCGGCTTTAAATATAAACTATAACCCAAAAGAATGGAGATTGTTTATAGACAGTTCAACATTTAGTTTAAAGTCAGTGTTATTGCCTATTGGAAATATTTTACCATCTCTTCCTGTAGGGTATGCAGTTCACATGAAAGAATCATATGACAATATGAAGTACCTATTGACATGCATAAAATACAATGAGCACCAATGGCATATTTGTGGTGATTTGAAAGTTGTTGCACTTTTACTTGGGCTGCAGCTAGGCTACACAAAGTTTTGCTGTTTTTTGTGTGAATGGGACAGTCGGGCAAAGGCACTTCATTACACCAGACAAAACTGGCCTGTTCGTCAATTCCTAGAGCCAGGTCAAAAAAAATGTACAGCATATGCCATTAGTAGATTCGAAAAAAAATTTAATACCACCACTGCATATCAAGTTGGGCCTAATGAAAAACTTTGTCAAGGCATTAGATAGAGATGGGTCAGCTTTTCAATACCTGCGTCAGAAATTTCCAAGACCAAGTGAGGCGAAGGTTAAAGAAGGTATTTTTGTTGGGCCACAGATTCGAAATGTTTTGAAAGATACACAGTTTGAGAACACTTTGACGGGTATTGAAAAAACTGCTTGGAATGATTTCCGTCTGGTGGCCACTAATTTCTTGGGAAATAGAAAAGCTGACAACTATAAAACCCTTGTCAAAAATATGCTGTCATCGTATCAAAGGATGGGCTGTAATATGTCTCTTAAGATACATTTCCTACACTCACACCTGGACTTTTTTCCTGACAATTGCGGAGTCGTACGTGATGACCACGGCGAACGTTTTCATCAGGATATTTCAACAATGGAAAAAAGGTACCAGGGAAAGTGGAATCCTTCCATGCTTGCAGACTACTGTTGGACTCTTGGTAGAGATGCTCCAGAAAAGATCCATAAAAGAACAGCAAAAAGATAGCGCATATAGTGATTCTTATAAGTATATGAATCTTGTTACTTTTTTTAATATATCCTTAAAAATAAAAAGTTTTTTTTCTAAACCGCAACAAATTTTTTTATTTCATTGTCATTTTTGGATTCAGCGCCCCAAAATTAACAAAGAAGTGCACTTTTCCCACAAGATACAATTAAAAAACTAAAATTTGTTGTCCAGTGTATTTAGTACGTAATGAAAGTTAATAAAGTTGCATATTTTTCAATGCAAAAATAATTTTTAGCTGCAACAGTGGCGTACGTACGGGTATTGACTTCGATATTTTTTAAGAAAAAAATGGTATGCCAATGGTTTTTTGCTAAATAAAAACTATATTTGAATTCACCGTTCAATTTAAAACAAGAGATTTCTGTTCAATTGTTTTCCTTCGATGCGCCATTTTTGAGTAAAAAATAGTTACATATGCAACTATGTATTCAAAATGGTAGCAGAAATAATATCTAACCCAAGGATTATTGGGTATCTTATTAAAAGTATTTCACTCTGAAGCATAATCCAGGGGGGGGCATACGCCACCCCCGTGCCCCCCCCCCAATTGGCGCCCATGGTTCCGACCTCTACAGTGGTAAACGGAGTCAACATCCGTTTATCGAGACGGCATAGTAGGAATGAAGAATCTGATGCCCATCAGTGGACGCATACGATAAGGCTGCAACTGTGTAAGGCAAGCTGTTGCATGACAGAAATGGAACCTAAAAAAGCAAATGTGGACAGAAGCACGCACTAAGCGGTTTAATGCCTGGCGTATACTTACGGTCACGTTTATAATCATGCATATGCATGGAACACTCTGGAAAATGTTTTAATTAACAAAGTGGCGTGGAAATTTTATTGTACGGACAAATACAATAAAATTTTTTTAGGAAAGTTATATCAGGGTCTTACAGATAACCTGAAGTCTCATTATAGTCAGTTGTGCATTGATTAGTTTCACCAATGGGTGGTATGCATAAAACGTAGTAGATGCATTTTTTAAGTTTTAACTACACTAACGACTATGTACGAGATACCTAGAAGAATATACTACGCTTTAGAAGTATTTGGTGGTTTAGTAGTATTTACTCCAGTTTATGTGAAGTTAGTGTATGAGCAACTTCGGCTACCGCAAATTCAGTATTTTTTTTTGGAAAATGGCAGCATTCATGAATGTGCGTCGTAGAAAAGTTTACAAACAAGCGAGGATATACAACGAAGATATTTATCGTAAATTATTTAGGTAATTATCATAATTCGTGTAGTTTTATGGTTATGTAATTCTTATTAATAAAAGTTACTTTCATAAGTTTTTGTTTAAGGTTTAACAGAGAAAATGTAGAGTGGCTTGCAAACCATTTGCTTGACGATAATGAGGATCCCGTAGAAACAAGAGATGGAGCCTTGCCACCTACTCGGAAAATGGAGATATTTTTGAGAAGTTTAGGTTAATATAGGAAAGTAATTCTAAAATTTTAAAAATATAAATACATATACATTTTTCAGGAGATCCTGTATTTCAGCAAGGAGTTGCTGTTGATTTAGATGTAAACCAAAGAGTACTGTATCCAGAACCTTGATTACTGTAACGCGCCCTACAATTGTAGGGACGGCCTTAGGCCCAATTGTAGGGCGCCTTTATGGCCTCCTTGATTGTGATAGTTTTCTACTTCTCCGTGTCAGCGCTCTATTTTGAGGTTATGTCACAAACATCGATTTGCATCAAATTGTGCTTGCTTTTGAGTTATATCATGTTTTATCAGCCTGAAATTTCCTACAATTTAAAAAGAAAAAATATCTTCACAATAGGAGAGCGCTGACGCTGACACGGGACAAGTGTAATCTAGAAATTTTTGAAAGAGAGAAAGGAGTATGACAATCAAGGAGGCCGTAAAAGCGCCCTACAATTGTAGGGACGACTGACGATACGGGCCTTAGAACGTTGAAACGGCGTTTTCCAATGCTCCAGTATACATTTCGCCTAAAAATTGAAAACATTCCAAAACATATTGTGAGTGCATTTGTACTTCATAACATATCTAAATATTTGCAAGATCCATACCACGATTTTGATCCAGTTCAGATGAAAGTACAAGATGCGATTGAACTGATTCCTGAGGGTAATCAACCACATATTCGAAATCGAGGCACGCAACGTAGAAACGACGTTGCGGAGGCTATATTTCGTGATGTCAACTAATATAATATCATTATGCACAGGGTCGTCTAATAACAAACAAATGTTAAAAGTAAATTATCTTATGTGGTATTCGGTTTTATTTTCAATTAGTAATTAATATATTCAAAAGATACAACTTAATAACATATTTATTTAGTAAAACCTTTTAACAAAATGAAATTATAACTCTTAACATTTATTATTATAACTATATATATTATAACATTTATAAATACAAACTTATTTTGTCACTGTAACATGTCACGCCCAATTATATCGTTTACTAACTGCTTTTATCAAGCAAAATTTGATAATCCTCAAGAATATTAACAAATAACAATTGTTCATTTCTATCCTGACCTAACTCTTTTGTCGCCATCGGAATCTGACGAGTCACTCGTTTTCACTTGTAGACGAAATGCTAATAATGTACGTAGTAAAAATGTATTGTGAACGTACAGGCAGATGAAAAACGAGTTCTAACACGATTGATGTGATTAAAGGATCCCCCAAACCGACGCGAATATTTCGCAACGACTGCGGTTAATTCACGACGACATTGTCGCCCAGGGACTCTTCTCGTAGAAGCAAATGAACAAGAACAGACCTGTGCGTCAATTTCGCTCACAGCGCTGCGACAGTGCAGCGTCTAAATTTTAATTCGCTGCTTGCACGATTTTTATCGCTGTCGCAATGGCAAACACTGAAAAACTTCTGGAAATAATTAAATAATTTCCAATTCTCTATGACTTTAACAACGAGCACTGCAAAAATGTTCGAAAAAAAGACAAAATCTGGGATGAGATAGACGTGGAATTGAATAATAATAATAATAATAATAATAATAATAATAATAATAATAACGTCTTTATTGGATAACCCGGAGGGACATAAACAGCGAAGTTTAGCCAAGGCTACTCTTACACTTAACTGTTTATGTCGGTTACATCTGATGTTCAAAACATGGAAAAAAATATAAGAACAATGAAAAAAAGAACACATATATACCTAAGTATTAAATACAAATAGACACAATCTATATCTGTAGCAGAAATGCTTATTTAATCAATAGCGAGCAACATGATTTTAGTATGTTTACGAAAACTTTCCAAAGACATCAATTTAATACTGTTTTCCAACTGATTGTAAAATAGTGCTGCATTATATGTAAATCCTCGTTGAAATAATGCAGAAGTGTGTGGGGTGGTTCCGATACTATAACGATTCCTATCAGCCCTGTCATGCACTTCGTAATTAAATCTTAACTTAGCTCTTAGATATTCAGGCTTCGATGACAATATTATTTTATGAACTAAAACTAAGAATTTATGTTTAACCAAACTTCCTAACCTAAGCCAGTTCAATTCCCTATATTTATCACTTACGTGATCGTATTTATGCAACCCATAAATAAAGCGAACACAGTTATTTTGGATGATTTGAAGACGATTTTTGGTCAATTGATCCAAACATGGATAATAAACCACATCACAGTAACTGAGCATTGACATCACCAAAGATTAGCACAGTTTTTTTCTCAGCTTAAAGTTAAGCAAGTAGCGATTGGAATGACACCGGTAAGTTACTCTTTACTGAGAAATTATAATACGTTTATTATTTATGAATGGCTTAGCTAAGATGATCTTGACCAACAATATTAGGAGTTGAAGTAGTCAACAAATTTTTCTCGTGTAGAAAATGCCAGATTCGTTGCACGTCTTGGATCATTTTCGATGTTGGTAAAGGCTTGTGATAGATCTGGATTTTCATCTAGAAGGTGTATATACTGTTCGTCACATTGCTTACTGCGTAAAAAATCATGCAGAACGCATGTAGTTTTTACTATAAAAATTGTAGTATCTGTCTTCGTTTCCATGGGCCTATAAGAAATTCTCCACTCCACTCCACTCACCGCGCCCAGTATTGTATTTTTCTTTTCTAGCGTCTGCTTTCGACTGTCTATATGGAAAGGGTCTCATTAGGTAGGGTTTAAGGGCAAATCTTTCTTCTCCAAGCAAAACATGAGGACACACCGTTTACTGCCAATCCACTGCGATCTTTTCACTTCGATATGAAAGTCCCTTAGATGTTCGCAGCGAATTTCGCGTGAACTATATCGCCACGAATATCGCAGCGGATTAATCGCGTTGGTTTGGAGGATCCTTTACAAATTAAGAATGTGCAAACAACGAACGACTTTTTAAAAAAGCGACTTTATTTAACAGAAGACGAATGAGTACTGGTCACCTTGGTTTACATGCATCTCTTACTTATAACCTACGCTAGAACAAAGGAATTGAAAAGTGCAAACCTAAGCAACTCTACATATTAGATCATCATCATAGCAGTGCCGTAATTCCTCCCTCTTCAAGAAGATTGAACCTCCTGGTTCAAAGGAAAAATCTGGTTAAGTTCAATGTCATTTTTGACTGATTGATTTTTTGGTTCTTTTTGCTTCAAAAGAGAGAGCAATTGTTTTTTTTTAAACAAAGTATAATTACAACAAATGTTAAAATACATAAAATAGTTACAATGCTAAACGTGGACGTTTTGTGTGAAAAATCTAAATTTTTTAATTTATCGTGTAATAAAACATTATTCAATTGTATATCCGAATAACCCTTTACATCAGTATTTTCAAATAACATATTCTTATCATAGTTCACCATAATGTTAGGTATGTATAAAGGTTTCGAAATATCAGAAATCTTCAAATACTCAGTATGATCAATAAATGTTTTACAGTTTAAGCTGATAATAAAAGAGGAATCAATTTCTTTTCTTTCTTTGGTACAATCTTCATATACTGGAATATTCTTGTTAGTATTCACTAAATAGTTATCATGTTTTAATTGAATTACTTCTGAAAATGAACCTTTTGCCAAGAATGTACAATTTTCAACTTTAAGTAAGTTACAACTGGAATGGATTAGTATAGTACAGTAAAAATATTTATTACTCAATAATTTGCATTCATCACAAAAATGTATAGTTTCATTTTCGATAATATTTTTATGTTTCAATACCAGAATATTATTTTGGTGTATAATGGGGTATATATTGGAATATATAAAGTTACCAGTAACTGTTGGTATGTGAAGAACAAATATGATTTCTTCTTCGAGGACTATAATACTTAATTCACATAATTCGAAAAATTCAAAATTGTGCAGTTTATCAAGTGGGAGAAGTTCATTTTTGTCAAATAGATCACTTAATAACGAATGGATATAATTAATTTCAGTCTTACTCAGCTGTAAGAGATTTATGCCCTGATTTGTGCTCAGGTTAATGGTTAACAGTAAGTGTGATAAATAATTAGAAAATCTTTGAATAATTATTATTTCATTCAAGACATACTGAGAATTAGCGTATTCGCTATGCAATTTGTTGAGGTTATCCAAATTATCTCTCAAATTTTTCTTTATAATTAAAGTGTTATTTTCAAACCTGTCTTGTAATTGTTTTGCTACAGAGACGGTTCGGGAATTTTGTAATGATAAATTATCTTGATTTTCCTTCAGAATTTTCATATTTGCCATTATTTCGTCTAGATCAGATTGATCTAAATTGCCTGAAATATATTTTATGACGGAACCAAGACCATTAAATAATCCACGCTTAACTCGTTTAAATTTTAACATTTCATATTTGTCTAAAAGCAAATTGTATTCATGTTCAAGTTGTGTTATCAACGTATCATCTATTCTTTGTTTTGCAAAATAGACATTTGACGTTATTTGCTTGATATTTTCATTAATGAGAGTGAGATTTATATGAAAAAATGTCTTATGGTACGCTTTTAGTAGATAGGCGTTACCTAGCTCTTGCTTAAAATATGGTGCTTTATTCTCGATCAGCTGGATCTCTAGGCCGGCTAGTTGAAGGGCCTGGATTAGGATCCTGAAAGTTAGAAATTTTGCGTTGCGGTTTCACTCTATTCAGTCTATGCTTTTTTCCTTTAGTGCGCAAATTAATATGGACATTTTCTTGTTCGTAAGAGGTCTCTTTAGAATACAGGGGTTTTGTTTTATGTGAACGATCTAATGCAGATTTAAGATATACTGGACCTTCTAAGGTTGGAATTTCCTTATTTCGATTTTGATTAATTTTTTCTAGTCTTTCCGTTGCCTTATCTAGTACACGGTTCGATAGTTCTTCATAAAAAGGTAGTAATTCTCTGTACCGTTTCTCGTTATATTCATCATATAATTTTGTGGGGGTATCGATCAAATGTTTATTCAAATCGTCGTAAGGACCGTATAATAATGAAAATGGGGTATATGTGGTCGTAGAATGGACACTTTGGTTATAAATTAAGATAGCTGTCGTCATTAGATCAATAATCGAATCGATTTTATTTTGCTGACGTAAAATTTTGAGTTTTTCTTTCAAGGTACTATGAAATCTTTCAAGAGGTGATAATGATGAGGGGTTACCTACACTAGTAACATGACATTCAATTTTGTGCATATTACAGAATTCTTTTATAACTTTTGTGTTAAGTTCACCAGGATCAAAAGTTATTTTGTCAGGATAATTGTGATGGGAAAAGAAGTGTCTGATTTTGTTTAATATTTCGTTAGATAATTTTGATTTTAAATTGTAGGCCTGGGCATATTTACTAAATAAATCAACAAATGTTAAAAATATTTGTTGTTCGACTTGAAAAATATCTAGAAATATATGTTCAAATGGTCTTTTGGCTATTAGAGGTCCTTCCATAGGGAGTTCGATTGGTCGTCTTTCGTATTTTGATGTCAAACAAGTATTGCACTGATTAATGTAATTTGATATTATTTTTTTCATATTTGGAGTGAATGCTTTTTTCTTGAAATGGCTGTAAGTTTCATTGATACCATTATGCGTTTGGCTATGATAGAAAGACAATTGTTCTGTAAATGAGTCTTTTAGTAGGTATATAGGCTTATAAGAAGCTTTAACAAATCTTATACCGCTGTTCGAAAAATACTGTTCTAAAAGTTCGTTAAGTTTAAATTCTAAAAGTTGATTTTCATACCAAATACCATAAGTATGATCGGGCTGAAGATATTCCTTCATGAATTTCAAAAGTTGCTCTGTTTCAGATCCACTTCGGACTGTTACCATTAAAGTACCATTGCAAGACTTTGTTATTTTATACTGATTTTTTAACTGAAAATGTATTCGATTTTTGAAAAAATAAAAATTCTTTTCTTGATACAATATATGATTGATAGGATTTTGTGCAGATGAATGTCGAGTAACATCAGATTGCTCAACAATTTTGAGTCGTTCATCTAACGGCATTTCATCTAATAAATCAATTAAAGGTAAATTATCTTCATTCAAGATTTCATCAAGTTCTTGGGTTGTTAATTCTTCTACAGAATCTACTTGTGGTAAAATGGATAAAAGATCGTCATCCTCTAAAGCGTTAATTTCAATTCTACTGAGCGCATCGGCTACAACATTGTCTTTGCCTTTTTTATATTTAATTGAAAAATTATATTCTTCTAACTGAAGCTTCCATCTAATCAATCGCTGATTGGGCACTGATAAAGAACTCAACCAAACTAGGGGCTTGTGATCACATTCGATTAGAAAATTTTGACCAAATAAATAAGGACGGAATTTTTTACAAGAATCAACTATTGCCAATAGTTCTTTTTCAATAACGCTGTAATTGCGTTCAGCAGAATTTAATGTTCGAGAGTGGAAAGCAATAGGCTTATCATTTTGACTAAGAACTCCTGATAGGGCTATATTGCTACAATCAGTTGTCAATGTAAATTTTTTGGAAAAATCAGGATAAGCCAGAATAGGTGGGTTACAAAGAGCTTCTTTACAAAGTTTAAATGCATTGATATAATCTGGATTATTGATATTGATTTTTTCATCTTTACGTAAACATTTTGTGAATGGCTTAGTCAATTGTGCAAATCCTTTAATAAATTTACGATAATAGTTCATAAGGCCTAAAAATGACTGGATTTCTTTAATCGTAGTCGGGAGAGGATATTCTTGAATTACTTTGATTTTATCTGGGTTTGGAAGTATGCCTTGTGGCGTGATGACATGACCTAAGAATGGAACATCTTTTCTCAGGAACTCAGATTTGTCCAGTTGGATTTTTAAATTAAACTGATTCAGTTTTTGGAATATTTTTCGAAGATGCAAAATGTGTTCGTCTAGGGATTTTGAAAAAACAATGATATCATCCATATAGACAAAACAAAAAACGTTGATATATTCTAACAATACAGTATTCATCATACGTTGAAAGGTAGCAGGGACATTTTTTAACCCAAATGGCATACGGACATATTCATAGTGGCCATTTTCAACAGTAAAAGCCGTTTTTTCTATAGACTCAGGATCCATAGGGATCTGGTGGAACCCTTGTGCCAAATCAATAGTAGAAAAATACATGCTTTTGCCTAAATTTTCCAAAATTTCTTCAATTAGTGGGAGTGGAAATTTATCTTCAATTGTTATTTCATTCAGTTTTCTGAAATCAATAACCATCCTATATTTTTTAACACCGGATGCATCCATTTTCTTAGGAACTATCCAGCAGGGTGATTGATAGGGTGAATTGCTTTGTCGAATGATTCCATCATTCAATAACTTGGAAACTTGATTTTGGATTTCCTTTTTGAGATGATAAGGATATCGATAATTTTTTACATAAATTGGGTCTTCATTTTTTAACCTAATTTTGTGTGCAGTGGCATTACAGGGAGTTAATGGTTCGTTAGGCTTGAAAAATACCTGTTTGAATTGCTTGCAGAGCTTAATAATCTTTTCTTTTTCTTCACTATTCATATGAGACGTACGAATTAAATTTTCAACACGTATATTGGATTTTTCAGTAGAAAATGGAGATTCTTTTTCAATTAGAAAATCATCAAGAGGTTCAGATAAAAATGGGTTGGAAACATCAAGAAGATTTATGTCAATTGGATATTGAATAGCATTATTTTCTACGTTACAGATACATTCAGGAAAATATTCGTCAGAATTTTTGAATTTCAAAGGTGGAATAACAACAGAACCATTATCCAAATTTCGGATAATTAATGATTTTTTCGGGTAACTATACTGAACTGGATTGTTTTCTCGAATTGGCTTAAAAGAAGTGTTATAAGTAATTTTACATTTATCAGTAATAATCTGATGTTTAGTCA